CCTGGGGAGAGATTTTCAACATTCGTGGTAATAACTTTGCAGATGAGGCGGCGAAGGCAGGAGCGAACCTTCACCAGCCTCTGGAAGATAGCCTCAATGACAGTCTTTCCTTTTTGGTTTCTGTTTCCAAGGCTGTCGCCAACCTTGCCGCCCATCTCCTGGACCTTTGGCCCAGGACCAACCTGGACGGGGTCTCTTGGGAGCGTCCTCTGGCTCCTGGTCCTCCCAGGGTTCAGGGTCCTGGTCACTCCTGGGGTTGGGCTGGCAAATTCTGGCAATGCAACGAGTGCCTCAAGTGCTCTCGTTCTCTCTCGAAGCCTCCGCCTGGGAGGTGCACCCAGCAGCTAAAGGTTTCGCCCCAGTCTCTTAGAGATTTGGGTCACCGCTGCATCATTGTTGACTGCAGCGATGGAAGTTTTGTGGCTTTCTGCCAGCTGTGCTTCTTCTACACATGTGGAGGGCAGCTTCGCGGGTTGGGGGACCCCTGTCCAGCGAATCCCTCCCACCCTTTTGTCGCGCGAGGACATGCGGACAAGGCTTGGTCCGCCCACAAATCCCGCAGAAGAGATCTTTGGTCCAAACTCAGCAGAGGACTCCATCCGAAACGGAATGGGGTCACAGTTGATTTGGACGGCATTGGAGTTTTATAATAATTATCTCTCTAATGCACTTTCCCCGCACTGCGGGTCTTTGACCGTGGATGTCAAACAAATCCTGGCCCCTCTCGCTTCTCCCGTCTGGCAACTGGCGTCTGCCTACTCCCAACTCTTCGGCCCTCACTCATCTCAGGAGGGAAAACCATTGCGGTAGCCAGGCCCACTGTAGAGTGGCCGGCGTCCTTGCGCCAGCATAGGGTGTGTGAACGGCGCTGCCTGGCTGGCAGGGGCCTTCTGGGAACCCGCCCCTTGGGCTCCCAATGCACCAGAAGGCGACGGACTGCGCGGCAGCGCCTGACAGGGGTACATCGTGAGGACCGCTTCCTGTTCCTATTTGTTTTACAACCCCACGCGCACGATGCCACAGTCAGGCTTGCTCGCCGTCACTTGAGTCGGAGTGGTCAACTAGCCATTCGGCCGCCGACAAAGCACCACGATTTTGGGCGCTGACGTAACCGAAAGCCGCCACGCCCTTCCAACCACCACTGAAAAACAAAGCTGCGGGCCCTCCTTGTTGGAGCGCCTCGTCTGCAAAGCCTCGCCTGAAAACGTGTGTGCCCCAGGCCGCAGCACTCCGCAACTGCAAGGCGGCTGCTTCAGGTTTGAGAACAGCAAGAGCGTCGGCATACTGCACGCTCGCGAAGGGGACCGACACTGCTTCTCCTACAAAGAATAGTGCGCAGACACCACATAAGGAGCGCCCTTGCAGCTGACAGATGCAACGTCTGGTTGTCTCGCACGGTTCGTTATAACATTTGCGCTGCGCGAAACGAATGACACAGGTTTTGCGTTCATCGCCGCTGAAGCGGAATGTCACAACATTTGACCCGAGGAGCGGCAACTCAGAGTAACGCGAACAGAATTGGCGAGCGATCACCCACGACGCCGCCAACAGCGGATATCCAGCTTCAGCGCACCACGTGCGGATGAGTTTGGTTTCTTCCGCCGTCGCCCGGATCTTCACTCTCCTGAATACGTCTCGGTTAATTTTCTCGGCACCTCTGGCCAGCCTTTCTGTGTCGTCGAGAACACCGAGAGGGGCTTACAATAGGTAGAGCACACTGCGAACATGAGAAAACATATTTCTGCAGACTGTTCCCATTACGGAATAACCCCACAAAGGCATTGAGAACATATTCGGACGGTGGCCAACTGGGCGCCGAAATGGCCCTGGCAGTTTCGCCCCACAAGCGGACGGCGGAAGCGTATTGTGGAGCATTTTTCGCCAGGCAGCGAACTCGACTCACAGAGTGTCGAGATGGAGATGATCTCCTCCAGGAACATCGCGACGTGCACGTTTGACTTCTTCACGGGGCCTGTCAATTGGTTCCGCCCCTGGATAGCAATTGCAGCGGGCGGCGGCCGCCACTGCGCCTGCTTGCACACAGCAGGTTCGGGAACAACGCGAGCACGGCGCGATTCACCAAGCAAGATCAAGCCAGCACGACCTTGCTCGTCGTTGGCTGCCTCACGTGGGTCGCTTTGGCTCGCAACTCGGGTTTGTGCCTCTGCCCCGGCCCCTGAAGAGGACGAGGTAGCCTCGGCGCGCGTTGCCTGTCGGCACGACGCGGCCGCTAACTCCCGGTCGGCCTGGCGCTGACACTGCGCCAAGAAGGCTTTTACGAGCGCAACGTTCTGTCCAGAAAACGCAGGGACGAGATCTACCAATTCATTTGCTTCCAAGCCGCCCAAATCAGACAAATGTTGGAAACCACCGTTTTCCAGAGCTGCGCAAAGACCAGAGATATCAACCAGATTCAGGCCAGCCACGCCCTGCAGCACGCGAGCGAAAACCGAGTTCACATCGCTCGCCTGCCGGGGCGGGGCACCCTCAGCACGCAAACGCTTGCTTCGGCTCTCGTGTACAAAACTAAGCATTGAGCCGATACTACGGAAAAGGCAAGACTGGCGCATGGCATCCCTCCTCCGATCAGAACCTGTGCACATGTTATTGTTTTACTTTTGCCTCAGCCGCCCCAGGGTGCATCCGGCGGAAACAGCCACTCAACACGTTGAAAATTTCGCGCTTGCAGCTCGGCAATTTGTTCTGGCTTCTCAGACGGCCGCGCGGGGGCATCTGCGAGATTCAAGTGCGAGGGCACATGCCAAAGATGCAAGAAATGTGCCTTTTCGGCGACGAGAAGCCACATATTGCCAATCAGACAATTCCAATCGGACTTCCGTGAACAACCTCGCACAAGCGCACCCAATGCGCTTTTGTTATCGACGAAGCAGATGATCTCGAGATCTGTTTGGCCAATGCTGAAAATCCATCTCAATGCGCAGATCGCTGCCATCAGCTCCCAGGTGCCGATCTGGTTCTTTCGCCAGTGTGCCCATTGGCGGGCGCTGTCGGGCACACTGGTGGCGGCCCAGACTTTGGCGAAAGGAGCGTGCAGCACCCGCGCCATCATGCCCGTGCCGGTTGCGTCGCTGCACAAAATGCACCGCTGGCGCTCGCGGAGCTGCAGCGGCACACGCCGTGAGGGTGGCGATTGCAAAAACTTATGCCACCATATGAGGGCGAGCCTCGTCCTCGCAGTGAGACGGCGGCCTGCGCCATGAAAGAACAAAGCTGCCAGAGGAGCACGCGCCCCCTTGCCAAAAACTGAGCTGGCACCCCAACTCAAACGCAAGGCCAGCTTCTGCGCTTCTGCCCGCGGCAACGCGTTCGCCTCGAGGGCCCTGACGATTTGGGAGCTCCACAACTCGAGCTTCTCCGGACCCGCGTCAAAAACTATCTCTTGCCAGGCGTCATCAAAACGAACGCCGACGCCGAGAATGGTGGCCGATGACTGTTCTGTGACAGCCTTGGCGCCATCCAAATCCCAGCCGAGAAGATCTGAAATTACGTGCCTGGCCAGCTTGGCCGTGCCAGCAGGGCCCGTCAGAGGGTCTCCGCCAACATCTATTTGCTCTTCCATCGCGTCGCCCGAAAACAGATCGTCGACAAAGCGAGGGTACAGCGCTAGGAAAATCTGCGCAAGCACGCCCTGAATTGCCAAACCGAACCGCTCCCACGCGGACACGGAGGCGGAAGAGCCAAAGGGCATTGCCAGGAGCTGGAGACACTGGTCTTTAGCCAACGCCTCCGGCCACACGACAACTGCCAATGGAAGGTGAGAGCTGCATATTGGTAGTGTTTTGAAGGCTTGCACAACATCATCTTTGCGCCAACGAATGCGCATTGTTCTTGATTTCGTGATCTTCAACACCAGCGCTACAAGTGAGTCTAGCGTGTCGGGAAGCATCTTCTCGGATACTTGCGTGCCTTCATTGATACGCGACGCAGACAAATCATCGATGCATCTAACTTTGGGAAACGTTTCCCAGCTTACGGTCTTCCAACCTTGCACGATTGGAAATCTGCCTGCTCCCAACTCTTCGGCCCTCGCTCATCTCAGGAGGGAAAACAACACACACAGACACAATTAATAGTCGACCCCCAGAAGATATGCGAAAATATGGGAAGTGGTGGGGAAGACAAAAACCCAGAAAATATATGAAAACATTGGGAATCTTTTTATTTGTGTGTATCTATTTGTGTGTCCCAGGGCCCTTTCATCTTCCCTCGTCCCCCATCTCTCTCTCCTCGGCCGTCGCTCCTCTCTTCTCGTTCCGTGCTCCTCGCTGGAGCGCTTCTTGCCAACCGCTCCTCGCTTCTCCCACTCCCCCACCCGATCCTGACTCCTCGGTCCTTGCCCCTCGCTCCTCGCTGCAGGTTGCGCCATCCGGTAGGAGTGCGAAGAAGCAGCACTCTGCAGTCTCAGGCAGCAACGGCGAACGAGAGCAGTCCGCAGCAGGCAGCGACAGCACAGCAAAAAACAAGCAGAGGCGACGTGCCGCAGGCAGCAGCACCCGCCAGCTGCAGGCAGCAACCGCAGAGGCGACTCCCGGGCGGAGTGGGCTCGCCTCCGTGGCGGGCGCGGTGCCCCAAGCTGCACCGCGCGCGCTGCGGCGTGCGCCACCCCTCGTGGTGCTGTGCGCGGGGAGCGCGCAGGCGCGGCGCCGCGCGGCGCGACCAACGACGCGGTCGCCGTCGTCGTTGCCGCGAGCGGCGAGCCGACTCCTTGACTCAACGTTCCCGCCCGTTTTCTGCCGAATTCCGTTCCTCTTTCTCTCGTTACCTCTCCTCTCTTCTCCTCCCCTTTTCTCTCTCCCTCTCTCCTCCTCCTCCTCCCTCTCTCCTCCTCCCTCTTGACTCTCTCTCTCTCTCTCTCTCTTGTCGCGAGCGGCGACGCCACCGCCATCGTCGCCGCCGCCGTCGTCGTCGTTGCCGCCGTCGTCGCCGTCAGCGCAGCGCGGACATCGGGCAGAGGCCGTGGCCGGTGGGCCACGGAGGAGTCCCTCTCATCACCTGCAATGCCGGGATCAGCGCGTGCGAGAAGGGCGTGCAGTGGCAGCGGGCGCTGGCGCTGCTGAGCGCGATGCGGGAGGCGAAGCTGGAGCCCAGCGTCATCTCTTCTCGCAGGGGCCTCTGCGTGCGAGCAGGTCTTTGTCCCGGAAGGCTCGCAAGGCCCTCTGGGGCGCCCTGTGAGTCCCCGGGGCGCTGCGAGACGACTCCGGGGGCTCCCAAGATACCCCAAGGCGGCCCCAAGACGGTTCAGAGACGCTCAAGAGGGCGCCCGGACGCCCCAAGAGGACCCCAAGCGAGCCCCAGGATGGCCCCAGAGGCTTCCAAGGCAAACAGGGAGGCTCCCGACACGGCCCAGGAGGACCTCCAGGAGTGCCCCAAGAGGCAAGCATCGTCCCATTACTCGGAAAACGTATATAAGTTTGCCTATGTCCGTTCTTCTCTTCTGCACAGTCTCCGAGACGGCTGTACCAGCTTCAAAGTCGCCCCAAGACGCCCCCAGCAGGACCCCAAAACGGCTCGAGACGGCCCCGGGACGGTTCCAGAGGTGCCCGAGACGGCCCAAGAGGCACCCAAGACAGCCCCAAGAGCGCCCAATAACCGCCCAAGAAGGCCCCAAGACGGCTTAGAGACGCTCAAGAGGGCACCCCGACGCTCCCAGAGGACCCCAAACGAGCCCCAGGATGGCCCCAGAAGAGCACCAAGAGACAAACATCGTCGCATAACGTTCGGAAAACGTATATTTTCAGTATGTTCCTTCTGTCCGCTTGCACAGTCTCCACGACGGCTGCACAGGCTCCCCAAATCGCTCCAAGACGCTCCCAGACGCTCCCAGCAGGGCCCCCAAACGGCCCGAGACGGCCCTGGACGGCTCCAGAGGCGCCCGAGACGGCCCAAGAGGCACCTACGACATCCCCAGGAGCGCTCAATAACGGCCCAAGATGGCTTCAAGACGGCCCCAAGATGGCCCGAGAGGCGCCCCAGACGGCTCCACATCGTTCCAATACGGCCCAAGAGGCACTCCAGACGGCCCAAGAGGGTCACGAGAGACCTTCAGGAGGACGAAAAGAGGCCCCCACACGGCCCCCAAGAAGCCTTCGATGCTTCTCTCTTGGGGAGCGTCGACGACTTACGATCGAAGACCGACAGGATGAAGGATCGAGGGGAGGAAGAGGAGGAGGAGGAGGAGGAGGAGGAGGAGGAGGAGGAGGAGGACGCCCCAAATAGCCCCCAAAACCCGACAGAAGCCACCGAGATGTCCCGAGCGTGCCCCGAAGAAGATCGACGGGATACAGGACCCAGGGTAGGACGAGGATGGCGCCCAAAATAGCCCAAAAGCCGACAGAAGCCACCGAGATGTCCTGAGCATGCCCCGAAGGAGGCCCCAAGAGTGTCCAGACCCCCCGAGAGGGCTCCTCACGCGCAGCCTAAGTAAGCCAGAGGGACAGTTGCTCCAGCGTCCTATCGGTGATACTCCCGTGCATTGGGCGCCTGAGCGGCCCCGGGTCAGCCCTCGTCTGTGCTACAATTCTGGTCGCGGCGCGTGCGAGTAGGAAAACCTGCGGCGGCCCCGGCCCGCCCCGGGCCGTTCCCGGGAGTCCCCGGGCCGCCCAGGGAGACCCCCAGACCGGCCAAGAGGGCCCTAAGGTGCCCCCAAGACGGCCCAAGAGGGCCCCCAAAAGCTCAACGGTCGGCCCAGGACGCCCAAGCTGGGCCCCAGACGGCCCCAGAGGTCTCCAAGACGCCCCAAGAGACCTCCAAGAGGCCTCCCAAGAGGGCCCCGAGAGGCCCAAACTATTGACTTTTCTTGGGTTTTTGAAGGGTCTGGGCGTTCTCGACTTCTCGGCTTCCCGACGCTCCCAGACGGCCCTCGAGGCCCCCAAGACCGCCCCAAGACTGCCCAAGAGGCTTCCAAGAGGGCGCCCAAACAGCCCAAGAGGACCCCAAGACGGCCCAAGAGGCGCCCAAGACGGCCCAAGAGAGCCCCCAGATGGCCCCCAAAAGGGGGCTAAGAGAGGGAACGCGAACCGAAAATCCGAGACTTTCGCCCCCAAGAGGCGCCCAGGAGGCCCCAAGAGGCGCCGAGGAGGCCCCAAAGAGGCCCCCCAGACGCCCAAAGAGGCCCCCAAGAGGCCCAGAAGAGGCCCCAAGAGGCCCCAAAACGGTCACCAGTACAGCCCCAGAGGCCCCCATCACGGTCCCCAACGCGCGCCAGACGGCCCCAGCGCTGCCCAAGGCCACACAACTCCCAAGAGAGCCTCCAGCCCCGACACCTCTCCCCGTGTGTGGACCCCCGGTAGCCTCCAAGAAAATCCCTGACCCCAAACCAAGGCCTGACAACGGTGTGGCTCCCCGGGTGTCTCCAAGAACAACGGCCCAACAAGATCCCCAGGCATTCCCAAATCACGCCCGCCCATGCCCAAGGCGCTCTCAAGACGGCCCAAGACGACTCCAAGACGGTCCCAGGAGGGTGGGCCCAGGACGGCACAAGGACGCGCCCGGTCGGGGCCTCAAGACGGGCCAAGATGGCAAGAGAGCCCCAGCTGGCAAAAATCGTTCATTTTCCATTGTTTACTGTTACACCCTTACTGCGTTTCCCGCCATTTCGGCGGTCCGATGCACCAAGAGGCCCCAGAAAGTCCCAGGAGGGTCCGAGGAAACGCCCAGGAAGGCCCCAAGACGGGCCAAGACGGACCCAGCACAACCCAAGGCGCGCTGCGACGGCTCAAGACGGCTCCAAGACAGCCCCAAGAGGGTGCCAACACGGCCCCTGCTGGGCCCAGGACGGCCCAAGGAGGCGCACAGGAGGGGCCCAAGACGACTCCAAGGCGGCCCCCTCACGGTCCCAGACGGCTCCAAGACAGCCCCACGATAGTGCCAACAAGGACCCCGATGGGCCCAGGACGGCCTACGGACGCGCCCATGAGGGGCCCACGACGAACCATCACGGCCCCATCACGGCAAACGGCGCCCTCAAGACGGGCCTAGACGGCTCCAAGACGGCCCTTTGAGGGAGCCAACGCGGCCCCACACCCTTCGGGCGAACACTTGGGGGGGCTGGGAGCTTGCGACAAGTCTCCCACATTCATTGTCCTGCCACATTCTGTTCGCCTGGAGGCCTCCTCCAACCCTGTGGGCGAACAAGAGGAAACCCAGCGGGCCGCCAACCCTGGGGCCCGTGGGCCCCGCGCCGCTTGGGCAGAAGACGAATGCCGGGCGGGTCTGACAGGCCAGCTGCCGCCCCCCTTTGCCCGATATGCTGTGCCATTCTGTTCCCCCAAGGGATTTGGCAAAGTCTTCGGGCCAACCAGACCGGACCCCTGGGACAGCAGCCAATTGATATGATCCAGGGACATCTCCGCATTCTTCGGACGAGCACCTGGGGGGCCCAGGAGATTTGGACAAGTCTTCCCCATTCCTTGCCCTGTCCCGTTCTGTTCGCCCGAAGGCCTCCACAGACCTTCTGGGCGAACAGAATGGGACATGGCGAACAAACCCTCCCGTTGGCGGTGATGCGACTGAATCGCACGATCAAGGCGTGCCCGGAGGTGATGGCCGACCCAACAGCGGTTTTCTTTTACAAAAAGTATATACCTTTTTTACATAATTTCAAATTTTCTTGAAGCTCTCTTGGGCCCTCCCTGTAGATCCTTGCAAGCCTCCCCGGCGCTTTCGGTGGCTTTTCCCGATGGCCTCCCGAGCCCTTCCCCGGGCGCTCCTGAGACGCCTCAGATGGGCTTCGACTTCGACGCACGTCCCCGAGAGACTTCGAAACTGCCCTCAATAGGAAGGGGGTGAACGAGCAGTGCGCTGGGCAAAGCTGCTGGAGCGCTGCAAGAGCTCGGACACGAAGGCGCGGTCTCGCTGCCGCCGCCCGAGCCGCCGCCGTGTTTGTAGATTTTCGGTACAAGCTGCGCCGTTCCTCCGAGAACCATTCCAGAAAAATGTCGTGGACGGAGTCCACGGGTCAGCCCTAGTCAGCTACAGTTCTGGGATCAGCGCGTGCGAGAAGGGCGAGCAGTGGCAGCAGGCGCTGGCGCTTCTGAGCGAAATATGGGAGGCGAAGCTGGAACCCGACATCATCAGCCTCAATGCCGGGATCAGCGCGTGCGAGAAGGGCGAGCAGTGGCAGCGGGCGCTGGCGCTGCTGAGCGAGATGCGGGAGGCGAGGCTGGAACCCGACGCCATCTTTACTACGATGCCGGGCGACGCGCGTGCGAACGTGGCCCAAAGTGCGTGGCTCCCCACGGCGCTCACAGCCCTCGGCCGCGCCTGCGGCGGTCCGGGGCTGCTCCTGAGCGCTCCGATGAGCCTCAAGACGGCCCAAGAGAGCTCCAAGACGGCCCAAGCGCCACCTTGGCGGGCCGAGCATGCATTCCCGCCGGCCCCAGCAGCGCCCAGGTCGCTCTCGAAGGCTCCGAGAGGGCCCCCAGACGGGCCACGACGGGGGTAAATGGGCGATGTCCTATAGTTTTTTCTATGATTTCTGTGCTCTCCCTTTTCTTACTTCCCGCACGCCCGAGACGTCCCAGGAAGCCCCCGATCGTTCCCCAACACGGTCCAGGAGGCTCCGCCAAGAGCCCCGAGACGGCCCAAGAGGGCCACAAGAGAGGCCCACGATACCCTCATAGAGCCTCCGGTGGCCCCCTGGACAGTCCAAAGAGGGCTCCAGGAGCTGCCGAGCAGGCCCAGCAGCAAGCTCCAAGACGGCCCGAGACCCCGACCGTGGCCCCAGGACGGCCTGCGGGGCCCCCGAGACGGCCCAAGAGAGCCCCAAAATGGCCCAAGACGGCCCTACGAGGCTCCAGAGAGACCCCCAGGATGGCTCTGAGAGGGGCCGCAGGGAGTCCGCGGTGCGGCCCAAGAGGGCCTCCAAATGGCCCCAGACGGCCCCACGAGGCTCCAGGGAGACCTCCAGGAAAGCTCCAAGAGGAGTCTATGCCGCGGCCTTCCCGCAGCCCCCAATGGGCCACGAACTCTCCAAGGACCACTCCGAGATGCCCCAGAGTCTCCCAAGAGACTCCGGCAGTTGCCCAGGAGCTCCCCGGGAGAGCGCTTCCATCCACGGCACCCTCTCGCCGTTTCTCGAACCCCCGACGCCCCCGAGAAAGCCCCAGACCCCAGAGCACGATCCAGACCACTCCGAGATGCCCCAGGGCCTCCCAAGAGACTCCGCTGGTTCCCGCAGAGCTCCCAGGAGAGCCTGCAGCCCCGGCACACCTCTCCCCGTGCGTGGCTCCCCGGTGGCCTCCAAGAGAGCCTCTGGCCCCAAACCTGGGCCCGACGACGGGGTGTGGCCCCCCGGCCGCCTCCAGGAACAACGGCCCAACAATCAGGAGGGGAAAAAACACACAGACACAATAAACCGTCGATGCCCCAGAAAATGCAGGAAAATAAGGGAAGTGGGGGGGACAGAAACACAGAAAATGTGGGGAATTCTTTTATTTGTGTGTATTTGTTTGTGTGTCCCAGGGCCCCTTCAAACAAGATCTCCAGGTACTCCCAAACCACGCCCGCCCATCCCAGGACGCCCCCGAGCGCGCCCCAAGGCGGTCCAAGAAGGCCCCCGAGCAATCCCAAGACAGCCCAACGAAGCCCGCACGCGTCCCACATGCACGATGCGGGCCGTGCCGGGAGCCTCTGGGGCCCGACGCGCGCAGGACGGCCCCAGCGCTGCCCGAGGCGGCCCACGAGGCGGCCCGAGGAGGCCCCTGGAGACCCCGAAGACAGCCCAACGAGATGCCCACACAGCCGCACTGGCTCCCAAGAGGCCTCCTGGTGAGCTCTGTGCGACATTGATATTACGCCAGTTTCCGTCCCCTCTCATGTAGCTTTTCGGCGCAAAAGGTTCAGATGCAAGCCGCCGCGCCCGTCCTCGCGCAGGTCGCGGGATACGCCGTCGGCTGGTGGAGCAGCGGCGGGCAGCGCTGCATCTGCTCGTGCGAGGTCTCGGGCAGCGTGGACCGCGACATCATCGGGGTCCTGCAGCGCCAGCTGGATCGGTGCGGGCCCGACCAGCTGACCTCGCCGCCGCCGACCACCTGCCACTGCGACGCGGGCTCGGCCTGAGTCGGCGCGGCGGCGGGCTTCGCCGTGGGCGTTGTGGTCGGCGTTCTCCTCTGCCTGGTCGTGTACTTCCGCGCGGCTGCCCGTCGCCCAGATGTCGGACCACCCGCCGGCGCCGAGCTGGCTGCGATCGCTGATTCCGGGGGCTCGCCTGTACGTGAGGTACCCGGACGAGGACCTCTGGCACGAGAGGCTTCCCTGCGGGCGCGTACGGGGGGACGGGTGGTCATGGGTGGTCCTGACACCGACTGAAGACCAGCGCGAGGAGGATTTCGTAGACGCCGCCGAGATCTTGGCCTGTGGGCCCAGAGGCGGCACTCCAGTAAAGTTGTATGGCAAGCACTTGTTCAGGATGGAGCACCGCTCCAACACCCCCTACTCGGACTTCATGGCGGCTGGGCTGAAGCTGGCTGATGAGTTGGTCAGCGCAGGAGGCGGTGGTCCTGCACCTCCTCCTGAGGCGGGGCCCTTGGCCCCCTTGGCTGACGCCGAAGTGGAGCGCGACCCCACGACCAAGTGGATCTCGCTCGAGTCGAGGTTCGGCTACGCCGCGGGCGACCCGATCGACGTGGTGGGCCAGCCCTTTCTGCGCTCGGGCGATCGTGGCGTGCTGGAGCTGGCGGAGGGGCCCATTGCCGTGGGCATCTCGGACACCGCGGCCACAGGGCTCACGCCACGTGCTGGGCCGCTGGACAGCCGACTGCTGGGGACGAGCTCGGACGCGACCTTCAAGCGCCAGAGTTTTGCCCAGCGCTCCCAGCTCCTCGAGACGGGCGACAACCAGAAGTGGATGGTGCAGGGGCCCCCGACCATGCGCTGGGTCTGCCTCACGCACGTCGAGGGCAACACTACGCCCAAGCAGCGCCATTTCTGGTGGCGTCAGGTCCTGGGTCTGGCTTCAACGGACCCTGGGGTCGAGGAGCAAAGTTTCTTGTGCGAGCTGATCGAGACCGCTGTGGCGAGGGACGGCATCAACGTGGCGGCCCTGGAGTCGTTCGAGACGGTGTCGAGGCGCTTCCAGCTGTGGGAGGAGTTCTACGCGGAGGCGTTGCAGATCGCGGAGGCCGGCGACCACGGGGATGACCTGGACGAGAGGAGGCTCTTCCTGGGGAAGGGCCTCGCGATTGCGTCGCCGGAGTTGGAGCAGCACGTTGCCACGAAGCTGCAGGAGGAAAGTGCGGTGCTCAAGGAGCGCCGCAAGGGTCGCGAGGAGCGGAGGCTTGCTCGCACGGACCCGACGCGCCCGTCTACTTCTTCGGGCTCTGGCGCCGCGGCATCTGGCGCCCAGCAGCCCCCGCAGCAGACCCAGCCTCCAGGACGTGGGAGGGGGCTGGGTCGTGGGCGGAGCCGACGCTTCGCCTCTCTCTTCATCCGGCTGCCCACCGTCGCCCCCGGGCGGTTGGGCTTTCCCCACAGGGGGGGCGCATTTGTGGTGGTGGTGCGCTTGGCGATTATCGAGATCATGGAGGTGCAGCGTGACGTGCTGCCGCTGCCGCTGGGGGCTGCCCTCAGTCAGGAACTGCGTGGAGAGGTTGCTGGGCCTGTTCAGCCTCGTTCGCGTCGGCTCCGACAGATGCGCGCACAAGAGAGGTGGCTGCGTGAGGGCATCGAGGCCCTGAATGAGCTCGGAGGTCGTGGAGAGACAGCGGATCCTCATCGTCGCCTCTCCCTACCGCAACAGCTTGCTGTTCGGCACCCTGCTCGTTCTCATGGCCGCGTGGGTCCTCCGCCTCCCGATTTTGATGCCCACGGAGCGTTCAGGGCGCTTCGGGGTTCGAGGTGCGGTTATGCGGACTCGCTGACCGATGGCAAGGTTGCTGCTTACAGACGTGGTGAAGTCTCACTACCGCAGGGCAAGGCTGGAGGCGTGTCTCTCTTGAACTGCCTTGGGCCTGAGCTGCAGTCAGTTTTGGCAAGTGGCCCGGGTCTCCTTCGCTCTGATCGTGATCGCGACAACGTTCTCTTAGATGCTCCCAGGGTGCCGGCTATGGACGTCAACTTGGGCAAGGGTGGCGCCGACTACGGGCACTTCCTGGGGGAGCTGTATGACCTTGGGGCTATCGAAGTGTGCGAGTCGCCGCAGGAGGTCTGCGGGCTCTTCTTCGTTCCCCGCAAGGATGGGCGTCTACGTCTCATTTGGGGCACGAGGCGCTCCAACGCACACTTCGAGGTGCCGCCCTTCACCGCCTTGCCGTCTGGTGAGGCTCTGGCTGCTCTTGAGATTGACGAGACGATCGCTGGGCAGAGGATAGTGGCACCTAGCGCGGATGTGGAGGTTTGCTTCTACCAGTGCGAGCTGCCGTCCAACCTCCGCCCGTTCTTCGCTCTTAAGTTTGTTGACCTTCGGCTTCTGCTTCGGCGCGTGCGTGACCAGGTCAGCCAGCAGGCCACCAACGGCCACATTCAATTTCAATCTCGCGTTGTGCCCATGGGATGGGCCTGGGCCGTGCACCTCGTGCAGCAGGCGCACATGTCGTTGCTGAAGGATGTGAGGCCGCTCGACTCCTGGGTGCTGGACAAGGTGCCGACGGAGCCGATCAGCGCTTCGCACTTGGCTAAGATACTCTACATCGACAACTTTGCGTCCATCGGTCCTACACGGGCTCGGCCAGACGCGGCCACTGCTGATGTGATCGCGTCGTTAGCGGATGCTGGGGTCAAAGCTGACATGGACCCGAACTCTGGGACGTTTGGGGTGCACGACCTTCTTGGCTTCTCGTTGGTCGAGCACCGTGCCACTTGGGCCCTCAGCGCTCGCAAGTTCTGGAAGGTCAAAGGGGCGCTGGACTACATGGTCTCGTCCAGCCAGGGCTTCACCGGCGCGGAGATGGAGCGGCTGCTGGGACACTTGGGCAGCTGCTTCCTGCTCCGCCGCGAGATGCTCTCGCTCCTGTACGCGTCGTGCACCTTCGCCCAGGGGGCCAAGCTGCACCGGGCGCCCCTCTGGCCGTCGGTCCGCAAGGAGCTCCGGTGGTGCCGCGCGTTGCTGCCGCTGGTGACCGCGGACATGTCACGGCCTTGGTCTCCTTTGATCACCTCCTATGATGCGAGTCCCTGGGGATATGGTGTTTGCGAAACGTCGGTCTCGGCATCGCAGTCTGGGCAGATCGGGCGGCTGAACGATCGATCAAGGTGGAAGGGGTTGTTGGCTACCAATCGTCGGCCTCTGGACGACCTCACGGATGTAGACGACGTCGACGACGACTTCAAGATCCCACGAGACCGGGACACGATCCTCTCGGCTGGTGCGGTTTCGGGCTTTACCGAGGTTGATCTTGGACTTCTGAGAGACGCCGCCTGGGTCACGGTCGCAGCCAGGCCCGCTTCTGCTAGCCTGCCTATTCATTTGCTGGAGGGATTTGCTCTGCTCCATGGAGTGCGCCGCGCCTCTCGAAACAGTCGGTGTCATTCTCGTCGGCTCGTCTTCTTGGGGGACAATATGAGTCTACTATGTAGAGGGCGGGCTACATATTTCAGGCTTAACTCTATCTGTCGGAAGGTCTTGGCTATCAGTCTGGCTTCGGATTTCAAGCTGGCCCACAGGTGGATCCCCTCGGAGAGAAATGCTGCTGATAAGCCGTCTCGTCGGTACATGCCGAAGTGGAACAGGGGCCTGTTGCCAGCTTCTGGGCTCAAGGATGATGAGGGTAACGCTTCCTCGCCGTCGTTCAGCTACGCAGGCGGGGCCTCCGGCTTCGCGTCAGATACCGCCGCCCTCTCGCCCGAGGCCTTCGTCCGGGGCGCTGGTGGCCGCTGGGGATCCTGCGGGGTCAAGCGCTGCCACCCAGCCGCAGAGCGATGTGCCGCGCGCCTGGCCGCGCGCGTCCGCCTCGGCGCGCCGCCCGGGCTCGGGCCCCCGAGAGCAACGGCATCACGTGGAATTGCAGCGCCTTCTACATCGTCTGGTGCCTCGTCTTACTGGCTTGCAGGCCAACCGCATTCGCGAGGCCACGCAGCAGGCCTACCTGGGCATCCTCGAGCAGCTGGCCTTCTTCATACAGTGCCGAGAGCTCCCGCGCTTTTCGGCCAAGGTGTGGGACGCCACCCTGGTCGACCTCATCGAGAGCCGCCACGACGAGGGACACTCAAGGGAGGCGACCGTCAACATCCTCTACGCGCTGCTGTGGGCATTGCCGCATCTGGGAGGGCCTGCTCGGACGCTCTTCCCCCAAGCCTTCGCATCAATGCGAGGTTGGACGCGGCTCAGCCCTCCTGCATCGCGGCCGCCGCTGCCCAGGCAAGCCGCCTGCGCCATCGCCGCGAAGCTGCTGGGCTATGGGCAAGAGAGGGCGGCGCTGGGGTGCTTGGTCATGTTCGAGACCTACTGCCGCGTCGGGGAGCTGCTCGCGTTGCGAATGTTCCAGATCGCGCCGCCCGACCGCCACTCGGCTGGGGCGGCAGGCTGCCCCACCATTGTTCTCACTGCCTCGGAGCTCCAGGTCCCCTCCAAGACAGGGGAGATGGACAGCATGGAACACAACTTCAGGCTGCGCTTCACCAGGCTCTTCGGCCAGGCAACTGGTTCAGGCTCTTCCTCGAGCTCTTCGCGGGTTCTGGCGAGCTCACCGCGTCCATGAGGCGCAAAGGCGCGGCGGTGTTGGCATTCGACGTGAACCAAGGACCACATATGGATCTTCTGAACGACGACGTCTACCCCCGCCTGCGGGGTTGGATTTTGTCTGGATTGGTGCTTGTAATCTGGTCTGGGACTCCTTGCGGGGGCCTCGCACGAGCTCGGCGTGGGCCTCCTGGTTCTCGGCTACCACGTGCCCTGAGGAGCCCAGAGTTCCCTCGAGGTCTTCCGGACCTCGAGGGCCGCGACTCGGAGACCTTGCAGCAATCCAATGTACTCGCTGCAAGGGCACTTGGTCTTCTCCAACTTGCTGCCGCGCGAGATATTCCAGGAGGCGAGGAAAATCCGAACACCAGCTATTTGTGGGACCTGCTGTCCCGTCAGAGATTCCCAGAAAAGTTTTGCACCGCTGACTACATCGTGGACTACTGCGCCTGCGGGCGCCCTTTCAGAGCAAGAACGCGACTCATAGTTTTTAACATGCATGCTTCACGTAAGTTGCCTCGTCTTCGCTGCCATGGCCGTGGCGTGTGCGACTTCTCAGGCAGGCCACACCAGAACCTGTCAGGAACCAAAGTGGGAGGCGGTTTCTTCACAGCCGCCAAGGCGGCCTACCCTCGCAGATTGGCGGACATCTTGGCTGATGACCTCTTCATGGCCCATGCTCTCCGGCGAACTTCGAGAAAATGGAATCTTCTACGGTGACCCAGTTGCAGTGCTGGATGTGGGTATGTTGTTCTGAATATGGGTTGATTTGAGCGTGGCTCAGCACGCTCCTCATCGACTCAGCTGAGCTCCTGTCATGCAGCAAATGATTGGAAAAGAAGTTATATCATGGTGAGGTCTGTGCGACATTGATATTACGCCAGTCTCCGTCCCCTCTCATGTAGCTTTTCGGCGCCCGCCCAACCCAGCCCTTCCTGCCTCACTTATACAAAGAGCGTCGAATTAAAGAACTGTCGCGTGCACGTGCAAGCCCGTGGTCCGTGCAGGGTTGATTTGGGCGTGGCTCAGCACGCTCCTCATCGACTCAACTGAGCTCCTGTCATGCAGCAAATGATTGGAAAAGAAGTTATATCAAAAGACTTTCACGCTGTCCCCGCCGTTCGCGCCCGTCGTCGCCGCTATCGCCGGCGGGGGAGAGGACACGCTCACGAAGGAGGCGCACGACGGGGACGTCTGCTTCCCCGTCCACGCTCGGCTGCGCCATCTCCTCTACGGGCCGCCGTGGGCGAGGGAGTGGAACGGGCCGAGAGAGCCAGCAGGCTGCAGCAGCAGTCGCGGTCGTAGTCATCTTCTGGCGGCCCCCGTGCACTGCCCTGGCCGGCGTGCGGGGCGGGGGGGGGCGACAGCGCTCGTGTCCGATGTTTTCCCCCCCTTGTTCTCCCCCAATCTCAGCGCAGAGAGCTTGACAACAGAGAGCGGTAATGTGAGGCAGCGCCCCCCTCTCCTCTTTCACACGTTGTCTCCCTGGTTTTGTCCACGAGCGCTGGGAGTTGGACAGCCGTCGGTTCTGGCGGGGGGGGAGCCGTCCTGCACTTCCTCCGCATTCACCTCCTTCTGTCCTCCCCCCTGCCCTCCCCCCCGCCTCACAGAGTTCGACAACAGAACCACGCGGCATTCCTGGAGAAGGTCCCCTCTGTCACCCCCCATCGGCCGCAAGGACGGGGCAGCGTTGGAAAACATCTGCACAGGGAGGTCGTCCGCCAGAAGGTTTCCCTTGTCCCCCCCCATCGGCTGTACAAGGAGAGGGGCGGCCTTGCACTTACTCCATACTCCCTCCCTCTCTACCCCCTCTCTCGCCATCGATCGACCAGACGTTGGGGGGTCCAGCTCCTGTACATCCTCACGGCCCTCCTCGTCTCCGTCCTCCTTTGCCTCCCCTCGGCTCTCCACCTCCACCTCCACGTCCAAGCAGCTGCGTGAACGCCCGTCGCCCGTAGGGAAGGCGCAGCGCTCGAGAACTGCAAAGGGAGTCGTGCTCTGGAGGAGCTCCCCCGGGGCCCCCCATCGGTTGTGGCGGGGAAGGGGGGCCGTCCTGTACTT